TGCAAGTGTTCAAAATCTGTGAGTCAAGTATCATGAGACTGGAGATTTTTTTTTTAATTATTTTTTTGGTCCTTTTTATTTCGAGCCTTTGGAGGAGGTCCCGGTTTCGAGTGTTTCTCCCCAAGAGATAGACACTTAGGACTCGCAATGCCCTGAGACTCATGATAGAATCATGAGCATTGGCAAACACTCCTTCCAATGTTGCAAGCAAAAGCCTAACAAAATTAGCCTAGATTGGACATTAGGAAAAAATTCCTAACTGTCAGGGTGGTCAAATATTGGAATAAATTGCCAAGGGAGGTGGTGGAATCTCCCTCTCTGGAGATATTTAAGAACAGGTTAGATAGACATCTGTCAGGGATGGTGTAGACGGAGCTTGGTCCTGCCTTGAGGGCGGGGGGCTGGACTCGATGACCTCTCGAGGTCCCTTCCAGTCCTATGATTCTATGATTCTATGATTCTAATGAAGCCCTCTACCAAAATAATTGGTCTGATTTTTCCAAGTGTGAACTACCCACCCGCTCCCAATCACTCCAGGGCCACCACTTTTCAAAACTAGCCACTTGTTTAGTTGGGTAAAGGACAATTTAAGAATCCCGAGTTTAGGCTCCTATTGTTGAAAGTTTTGGCCAGAAATACAAACCAATATAAGAAAGGGGCAGAGTGGAGAGGGCATCTAGACCCCAAGGCCAGGTTTACACACAGCTTTTTAATAGGAGTCCCTATTTGGAGTAAAGGCATGATTTTTTTCACCAATATAGTTAATAGTGATGTCATGACAGTCCTTACTGGGGAGACAATTATGGCACATCCTGGTGTTTTAATCTAGTGTAATTGATTCCCTTTCCTGTATGGAAAGAGCAGTAACAGTATAAGCACCCAGATAAGTTATATCTAGGCTTGATTATCAGTGTTCCCTGTTAGCTGAGTGATTGGGCGGCCACCCCAGAGAGATTTAATTGCCGCCCAACTGCTTAGCACAGCACCCACAGCTAGCAACATGTTTCCATTGGTGGTGCACATCTGCACCTGCCTTAGTGCACACAACAAAATTTATTCAACACATGGATGGAAAAATTAGAAGGAACATTGTTGGCGATACTCAGAAAGCTCTGAACTGTACTAACAATGGGAAAACTCCCTCTCCCCTAGTGTCCACACAGAAAGGTGATTTTATTGTGTAGTGGCATTACAGTATGGTTCTAATCATTCTTCCATGTAATTGTCACTAATTCATTGAACCACGTTATTCTGTGCTGTGAAGGTTTTTTTTACCACCCTGACCACATAGTTTCTGAGAGTGTTCCCATTGTGCCGTAAGTGACGTGACGACATCTGTTCCTTGTGATCTGTCTTTTCTCTCCTCTCTCCCCAGGGGAGAATTGGAGGAGCAACATGGGGTTTGTTTTGGTCGGTGATGTATGTGCCGTGTTGTGTGTGTGAGCAAAGGCCGGTCAGAGCAGAGTGCCTGTCAGTTGGAGAGGATGGTGCTGTGTTACCACACACCGAGTGTGGTTACTGAGCAATGCAAGTGGTACCTAGACCACAGCAACAGTTAAGCTCAAGAGACCTCTACAGCATGGGCTGGGAGTCAGCTGGCTTTTAGCTCAGAGGGTAGAGGCTCCTACAGGTCCCAGGTTCAAATCTGCCCATTGGCGGTTACAGCTGCAGGGGTTAGTTCTTGGTTTTTATAGGAGTTTGTTTCTCAATCTCGGACTGGTCCCTGAGCAAGCGCTGTCTCCCCCATGTCTGCACACAACTCTCTGGTGCCTGGAGTGGGGTTGTCCACCCTGTCCCTCATCCTGGAGCTTCCGATGGTCTTATAGGCGAAGCTCTTGAGTGGTATGGAGATAATAGCCAAGACCTTGACTGTGACTTGCTGGTCCCTGGAGGGCTAACAGAGAGAGCGGAGAGCAGGTGGGACAAGCTGCAGTGTTGCTGAGGCGGGCTGCTGTGTTCTGTACCGGCCGGGCTCCCTGGGGGCCAATGGCTTCGTGCCCAGGTGTTGCTGGACGCTGAAGGGAGCTCTCGGTGAGTGGCCACTGGCTCAGAGTGACAGTAGCCAGTTCCCTGCCGGTTGTGCCTCCTCCCAGCCCAGTTTGGAGTTGCTGCCCGCTGCCGTGTGCGCCAGCAGGCAGCAGGTGCGACGTGCTGCTGCATTTTGCACTCGCCTTGCCCGAATGTGAGCAACCATGTGAGGTGCACGGTGCCGCTGAGCGAGGGGAGCGGCTGTGCCCCTGTTCTCCCCTGCCGTTGCTAAGGCCTGGGACACAAGCTTAGTTTGGTCCCGTGTGGCCAAACGAGTCCCTCCCCGGTATTGGGAGGCCGATGTGAAGCGACATTGGTCGTCTTTCACCTTTATTAAGGGGCCTCCTGGGCCCTCTCCCTCATTTTCATACCCGCTCCTGTCCCACTGGGGCTGTATTAACTGCCTCGGATGTAAGGCTGCTCTGCTCAGAGAATCATAGAACCATAGAGCTGGAAGAGACTTCGGGAGTCGTCGAGTCCAGCCCCCTGCCCAAAGCAGGACCAACCCCCACTCAATCCGCCCAGCCAGGGCTTTGGCAAGCCAGGACTTAAAAACCTCTAGAATAGAGATTCCACCCCCTCCCTATGGAACCCATCCCAGTGCCTCACCCTACACCTAGGGAAATACTTTTCCCTAATATCCAACCTAAACTTCCCCCTTCTGCCATCTGTCACCACTGGGAACAGCCTCTCTCCATCCTCTTTGGAGCCCCCCTTCAGGGAGTTGAAGGTTGCTATGAAAAAACTCCTCGCTCTTCTCTTCTGTAGACTAAATAAGCCCAAATCCCTCTGCCTCTCCTTGTAAGTCAAGAGCTCCAGCCCCCTCATCATTTTGGTTGCCCTCCGCTGGGCCCTCTTCAATGCATCCACACCCTTCCTATTCGCAAGAGGGGGGTAAAGCTGGCAAACCCATCTTTCTCTGCGTGTGTGTGTGTGTGTGTGTGTGTGCGCGCGCGCGCGCAGTGGGTGCAACCCCCCTCCCAGATGGGATAAGCAGCTGGTGGGGTAAATACTGCCTCCCATACCCCCTGCAGCTATTCCTGCTTCTTTCCCTGGGGTTCTCATGCTGCTGCCTTGGGGAGGGATGGGAAGCCCTGCCTCTCCTAGTGCAGGATAGGACAATGGGGTAGGCCGTAAGGGAGTGGGCCTGGCTGGGCCCATGGGGGTTCCTAGAACCTCCAATTGCTTTTCTCCAGACCTGATCCCGGCCGGGCCTCCCTTCCCAGCCAACTGCAGTAAGCTCACTTATGATTTTCGCCATCTCAGGGAGAACGAAAGAGCGATTGCTCCATCTGGAGGCTGCTGGGAGGTGCTGCGCTGAGTCTGTGCGCAGGAGGGGCCCTCTGACTGTGTTTTCAGTCGGGGGCCTTGTCTCTCACTGTTCATCTCGGCGTTTTAAAGCTACCCGGGGATGCTCTTTCAGGAGTGTAACGATGGCTGAGACTTCCCAGCGGAACGAGGCACGGGCCGCGCCAGCCTGCGCCGCGGCAGGAGCGAACAACCTGGCTCCGGGGGTGTCCCAGGGTGGGTTCTCGCAAAGGGAGCCCTGGATGAGAGACCTGGTTTGCCCACAGAGGATGTGGGGCTGGCAAGGGAGACAGGGAAGGGGGTGGATCACCTCCTCTCCTCCTTCCCCAGCTCCGAGGGTCCCTGGCGAGCGGCCCGGAGAAACGTTTCGGAGCCAGTCGAGGGAATTGCAGGAGAAGACAGGGGCAGGAGCCGGCCTGGGCCATACGGGAAGTTGGACAAGATGGTCGGATGCTCCCTCTGGCCTTGAATTCCGTGACCCTCACTGGAGACACCTCCAGAGCAGAGAGCCAGGCTGGGCAGTCCCTGACTTGAGCTACCTCTGGGCCACTGCCTTGAGGCTCAGGGCTAGTGGCACGGACACAGAGGGCTTCTCCATGGCCCAGAGGGCTTCTCCGTGCTTACAGTGCCCGTCCCCCACCCCTCAGGGGACAGGACCATTGCCAGGGCTCACAGGATGGGAACAGGGGCGGGTTTCAAACCAGGCTATCTGGAGAGTAGCTACAAGGCCTGTAGACACCTGTTTTCTGGGATGTGCAAGGGGAAGGCTCAGCAAAGGGGTCTGGTGGGGATCGGGAGCCCAGTTAGGAGGCTGAAAAGGACTGTGGGGCAGGCGGCTGGCCGGGCTGGCTGGCTATAAGCCAGGGAAGCCTTTCTGGGCCTACTGGCAGGGGCTGATGTGGAGGAGGGCTGGGTAATTCTGAGAATGGCAAACCCCACTCACAAGGGGAGCGGTCGGTAAGGAAGAAACACCAGCCGTGGTAGTTTGTCTGAGGCAAAATGGAAGGAAAACAGAGGCAGGGCCTAGAGCCAGGCCAGGCAGGACCTGCTACAAGCACCTCTCCGCAATGGGGTTTTAAAAGCTGACTGGGTAATGCTGTGGTGAAGGGCCTTGTCCGAGGGCCACCGGTTAGATTTGGTGCAGAGCCAGGGACAAGAGCCCTAGGAGGGGAGTGGGATCCAGGGACTTGGGGGGCCAGGACCAAGTGTGTTGGGGTTGTACAATCATGGAGTAATAGCTCTTGTCCAGAGGAGCTTATAGGCTAAACAGACAAGGCAGGGAAAGGGATAGGCCACACAAGGAGAAATACACATTCACGTTCCACCTGAGGTGACCGGCTCCCTGCTGGAATCCTTGGGCTGGGCGGCTCTGTGCCATGCAGGAGGTCAGGTTTGGTGATCAGATTGGGCCCTTCTGGCCGTTCTTTCCATGAATCAGAGAGCCCGGTTCTGTGCTCTAACCACTAGGCCGCCCTTGGCTTAGCAGCTGCTGCTGAGTGAGTGGTTCCCTGATAATACTCCCCTATGTGCTTGTCTAGTAGAATACCAGGGCCTGCCTAGTGCCCTACAGACATTAGCAGAGCCCCACCTTGCCTGACCTCCTGTCCCTGGGCTTCACAATCCAAACACCCGCTCACCAGAGGGATTGTGCTTCCTCCCTTTAGATATGAAGCGACCCCTGAGCCTGTCTCACCCTGCCGAGAACAGGATCCGCCTGGCCGAGACGGCGGGCTGCCCGCCCAGCCCGTCCGAGCAGCGCGCAAAGCGGGAGAAGAAGCAGCCGTCGTTCACGCTGTGCGAGGTCTGTAACATCCAGCTCAACTCGGCCGTCCAGGCGCAGATCCACTACAACGGCAAATCCCACCAGAAACGCCTCAAGCAGCTCCACAAAGGCAAGGTGCCAACGGGCCAAGGTGAGTGCTCTGGCCTTTGGGGATACAGCAGGACGGTGGGGCCGGGAGGCGCTGGGAAGGGCTGGTCTCTGCAGCCTGGCCCATCCTTATGGACGGAAGTGAGGACGAGTCAAAGTTTTGTGGTGTGGCTGGGGTTCTTGCCCCGGATCCCAATTGCTGTTGCATCTCTTTGTCTAAATTCTACTTCTCCTAATTATGCAAATAAAAAGCTACTGTCTCAGCCAACCGCCAGCTCCCAGGCTGGAAGGTAGGGGGCATAGCACGACCCCCCACATCAAGGAATGTCTCCGCTTCCTATTGGACACCCGTCACGGTGACCCCTCCGGCAGGCCACATTCTACTGCGGCCTATTGTGCCGCGGAGGCAGATCCCTTCTGCGCGGCCTGCATTTGCTGCTTTTTGAGCGCGCATTACTCCCGTGCGTACACGAGCTCCGTCTCTAGCACCCTGCGTCTCCTCCAAAGACAGCGAGCATCCACTGAGATGCCTTTTGCACACAGGAATGGCTGGGTGGGGCCA